TCCACCTGTCACAGGTTTCTAACACCATCTGCTGTTTAAAAATAAGATGGCATTTGAGCTAAACAGCACACGAGAGCTGGTACTTGTTTGATAAACCCGAAGTGACACCAGCTCATCTAGAAGGTTTGTGTAATCAGCACATTTCACTTTTTTGTTTTTTCAAACCCTGAACGTATTTTAGACTTGATCTTAATTACGAAGGGAATGATTTCTTGGTCAGAAGACCCAGAAACCCAACGAGCAGCAGCTGACAGCCACGTCCCCACCACAAAACTTAAATCTCCATCCAGTCCCAAGACCCCATATCCATCTTTCCAGGATTGATTGAAGCAGATTTCAAAGCAGTGTAATTCCACGCCAAAGTCTGGCCCAAAGAACCTACTTAAGAACTTTTTCTTGAGAGCTAAAGCCACCTCAGGGTATGAGGAACTCAAAGGAAAGCTTTCGTTCTATTAAAAGTAAAAATATTTACCTTTTGCCTTCTCACACTGCTGCTCATATGACAAAATAAATACTGTAACCAGGGATTCTTTTGCTGCTTCCTCGTTGAAAGCGATAACAAACTTTTTCTCCCAGAAAAACCAGCAGAGCCCTGGAATCCATGACACATCTAAATGGAAAGACTCGCCACCAATGCTCTTAGTTTTTGTTGCCTGTGTTAAAAAGCAAGGAGGGATTCTTAATAACAATATTTAAAAAAAAAAAAAGTTTTCTCCAAAGGGGTCCCTGCAGAGCACAGCCATTCACCCCGAGACAATGCAGTGGTTTTATGGCCGCAGATTTGGACAAAAATCCCCCCACATTTTAAAGTCTAATACCAAGCCGAGGATGCAGCTATGCCATCCGTCTCCTCTCATACCACGTCAGCCCCTTCACAGCATCACCCTCCATATTTAACATCTCTAACCCCCGCCACACACATCATTTTTGAAGAGTCAGAGGCTCCTTTTGTAAGCGATCGGCTCCTTACCCCAGCACTTTACACGTGCTCCTCGACAAAAGAGACCTTTTACATGTCAATTTATTTTCAGACAAGCATATCTGAAAGGGAGTTGCTCTCCGGAGTGGAATTAGTATTAATGGCAGGTGTTCCAGTGCAACACAAAAGGAGGAAGGCAGCAAGTTAGCTGAGCTTAAGTAGTAAGACAGCTTGATGTTTTAATAACCAGAGGCAAGAAAATGGAGTGGCAGCGGACCTCCAGCTTCCATGGCATGAATGAAGGTTTTATTCAGAGCCCCCTATGTACTCGCAAAAGAAGACCTTGAAATATTTTAAACGTTCCCTTTGCGTTAAAAGAGGGATTAAATTGTTGAATATTACATGAAAGCGCAGCGTCCGCCCCACATCCCGTCGAACACGCTCGGAGTCACCGAGTATTTCCGACGCCTCCGCGTGCTTGGGAAGGCGGCAGCGGCTGCTGCCAGGAGGAGTTGGTGGCACCCGGGAGGCCACCGGCTGCACAATTCGCTGCCTGCAAAAGGCAAAAGATGCAGGAAAAAGAATGAAATGCCCTAACTGGAAGGTGGGGATTTGAAGAGGAGATTTGCATTCGTTGGATGGAAAGTTAAAAAGCAGATCGGTTGCTTGGAGAAGTTCCACTAAGGAAAAAATAATAAAAAAAAAAAGATTGCTGAGAAAGTTACCAGCCTTCGGTTTTCAAGACAGCCTAAATAATCATGATGGGAATATTTATCAGGCCAAAATACATTTATTTATGCTCCGTTTAATTGGGCAGAGGTCAGCACCACATCATTAAGAGGAAGGCACGACTACTTTACACAGTGGGAAGAAGGAAAACAGCCTCTCTGCTGGGTCAGCCTCTTTTACAACAGAAAATGTTGCTTCTTTACATCCCAAAATAGGAAACTTTAACTTTCCTCATAGACAAGCTGAATGAGAGCTGCTCAATATTATTTTCAGGCTCCTTGTCTATGGATTAACACGCTATTTCTGCACAGGTTAATTCCAGGTAGACTCAGCTACTAGAGGCTGGATTCCGGGATTTCTGCTCCCTTGAGCTTTCATGTGGACGTACAGAACAAAGTCTTAAAGGTCAAGTTGACTGTTAAACACCTGAAATAACACAAGCAGTTTTCCTTGTAAAGATTTCCTTCTGTACGAAAGTTAAATCCATTTTTGTCCCTTTTCAAATCAAGACAAAGGTCAGCCGTATATCCTCTTTGTCCCAAGTTCAAGCTGAATGACCTCAGACTCTGGTGAGAGCAGATCATTTGGTCTCCTCTAGGACACCTTCGAGCTCCCCCAACAAGCCTTAGTGACCCAGCCTGACACAGGCCCAACTTTCACCCCAAATAATGCAATTTCAGTTCAGATGACAGCAGTTGGTCCCAGCTGTATTTTGGCAAAGGTTTGACACCGTCTGGACAAAACCAGAAAGGGAACGAGAGGGCTCACCCGACCCGTCACAAACACCTACGGTTCTCATACGCAGAAAGATCAACAAATCTGGTTTTATTGAGCACTGGAATTAAAAAAGTAACAGCACTTGGTTGATTTGAAACTAAAAATTAAGACTTATTTTTACTTATGGAAAGATCACTCAAAACAAGTTGGTTAAAAGCACCCCAGAAAGCAAAGTGTAGCCCTTCTTGTTCACGCTGTTCTCCAAAGTGATGGAGGTCCCAGAAGCTACAGCTGCACCAAACACAAAGTTTCTCTGATTGAAACTTTGCCCCAGTGAGGCAGAGGGGTTTGATGATCTGGATATCGGGGTTTGATGGGAGGATTTAGCAAAGGTTGTAACATTTTTCCCGACTGGTATTTGCCAACATTCACAATTTCACACAAACAAGCCAGCTCCCATCCAAGCAGAGCAAACATTTGGATTAAGACCCCTCGTGACGGTCCATACTATTAAGAGGTTCCCAGTGAGTGGTGATCACCACCAACATGTCCCACCCCATCCATCGTTCCAGACCCCACCCTCTCCAACGTAGGAAATATTCAGAAAAACTGTCAAAGTGTCTGCTTCAATCCCAACGGCACCCAAAGGGACAGACCCCAGCTCCAGAAAGAAGCCGTTTAAAATTATATTTGTTTCAGTTCCCTACAATTTTCACACCTTTTCCCTTGGAACAGTTGTAGGAAACATAAGGCAGGTTCGCTGGCACGAAGGCAGACATCGCGTCAGAGGAGACAGCAAGTATTTTTAAGGAAGGCATTTCGCGTGGTGGAGCGTCCCCCTCCCCAGTTATCAGCAAAACATGAAATCCAGCTCTGCTGGGGGTCAGTGGCAAAGCCAGCGAGAAGATGGCACTGGCACTGAACACTAGGGCAGAACTTGGAAAAAATAGAGAAAAAAAATTGTGATTGTTTCAGCTTCTCACTGGCTGCTCCAGGGAGTAAAACAGGACCTGTCTGGGTGAGGCAGGAGGAGAGAGCTGCACATCTCAGATCAAGTTTTTTCATGGAATTTTCCACTTTAGAGTCAACCGGGACTAAGCAAAAGGGAAAAGCAAAAAAGAAAGTTTCCCCTCTCGTTAATACCATCAACCAAAAGTAGCAGAAATTCACGTGAGAACCTTTGCTGGCTCCAGTCGCATCCTTGAGCACGCGAGCGTTGGCGGTCCCCGTAGCATTCCT